AAAATCACAGGAAACTACAATCTTCTAAACCTTTTTCGTTCTTTCTTTTCTCAATGTAGACATAAAAATTTGAACTCCACGCCTATATTCTTGCAAGAAGCAACAAAAAATATGATATACCAAATATACACATTTAAGCACCAGAATTATATAAATTAGTAGTGTTTAGATGACAAGAGATGATGCAGGGTAATTGGTTAATTCTACAAGCAGAAAACATAGTAAGAGAGTTCACTATTGCTGCTCTAAACAGAACCTGAGTATCGCAATTCGCAACTTGTTCTCACAAAAACAATAATGAAATCATAATCTAGCATAAGCAACCAACAGTTAAAAATTTCATCTATTCATGAACATTCCACAAATGTAGTAGTTTTACAGACAAGGGAAAAGTACCCAATTTTCACCCCCCAAACAACACAATAAGGACATTTTTACTCAAAGCAACCAATTCTAATCTACAAATACAGTCTTCTAGTTCTAGATACAACATTCTCAATTACTACTATCACTAACATTATTATTATTATTACTACCACTAACCACTATTATTGTTGTTATTTGTTCCCAAGTCATTCTTGTTTATTATTGTTTTTACCAGGTCTCCTAACCTTCAGCTGCGAGAGCTCGAGCTGCGTCTTCATAAAGTTTTGCATCCTTTGCAGCTCCAAATCCTTTGCAAACTTCATCCTCTGCTTCTCCATCTCCACAATCTGTTGAAGTTTGGCAGTCTCTGCTTGTTCATAAACCTCACCGAATTTCAAGATGGCCCGAGTTAGCTCTTTCATAGAGTTCCCCCAATTTCCACTGCTATCACTCTCATTATTTACAGCATCACTTTTCTTGTTCGTCATGTTTTGTCTGGAGAGAGTCGATTTATTGTCGTTGGGAAATTTTAGCAATCTTGGCCGTTTATTAGTCTCGGGAGGTAAGCCGTCAGAAGAATCTGGTGAATTTTCGGGTTCGGTTTCATCATCGGAATCGATAGGCGGGTTTTTCTTGAGGGCCGGCTTTCGACTGGAAGATGATCGGAGCCCGACCGGGATACTTACGGGGACCTTCTGTTCCATGGGTGGAGGAGTAATGGAGGTCGTTTTGGCGGTTTTGGAAGTGGGCCCAATTAGCTCGTTGAGCTTGTGGTAGAATCGCCACTTGCTGGGTGGGCCGCCGGCGGAGATCTTGGCCCTCTCGAGCTTGTACTTCTTCTTGACGGTGTCGATGCGGTTCTTGCACTGGACGTCGGTCTTGGGGGTTTTGTTGTGGAGGTCTTCCCGGCGGCCGACGGCGTCGGCCACGTCCTTCCAGTGCTTCTGCTTGAGGTTGCCCCGGCTTAGCTCCAGGTACCGCTCGCCCCAGGCGTCGATTAGTACGGCGGTGGCTTCCTCGCTCCAGCAGTCATCTCGGCCGCCGACGCCGGAGGAGGGGGTCTTCTGGGGGTTCTGGATCGGGAGGGCCAGGGTCAGGGGTATGGGAGGCGGAGGAGAGGTGGGGGCCGGGGCGGGGCCGGCGGCGGCTGCGGCGGCGGTGGAGACGGTGACTGCGATGCGGCCGTTAGGAGGGGGGGAAGATGGGTGGGCCTGGATTTCGTCGTCGTCCTCCATGGGAGGGTCGGGTGGGCCCAGATCTGGGGAGATCGGGTCGGGTCACGAGTGGGTTTCTAGAGAGAGAGAGAGAAATAAAGAGAGATTGGGTTGACCGGCGGAGGGGAGGGAGAGAGAGACAGAGAGCGAGAGCGAGAGAGGGTTATGGTGAAAATGGCGATGGTTAAGCGGAAGTTAGAGAGAGTGTGGTGGTGGTGGGGGCAGTGGGGCCCACCGAACGGCGCCGTATTATATTGTTTTGTTCGCGTTTTGGGCGTTGACGGCGAAAACGGAAACGGAGGAGGGGCCGGCGACGTCACGGCAGGCGCCCTTGTTATTAATTTTTAATTTTTATTATTATTACTACTATTAATTAATTTTACCTGAAATGCCTAATATACCCCTGTCCCTATCCAATCCCGATTCAAATTGGATTTTTTATTTTTTATTTTTTTAAATTTTGACAGTTATAATTCGATGAAAAAGTACTGTAAATTCTGGTGTTCGTCCAATCGTTTCCAATTCAATTTGCTCCTTGTTCTTTTGCACAAAGGTAATCACTCTTTAGCTCCATCTTTGAGTCCTTCCATGTTAATTGATTCTTGGGTTCTCAGTTTTTCACTTGATGAATTTCGTCGAGGGCGTTGTGTTCTCAGTTTGATTTATTCAGTGTTCTTTCTTCTCAGTAATCCTAAGAAAGATCCTTATAGTTTTGGTTAAAAAAGATCACTTCTTTATTCTATTTTTTATTTGATCGTTTAGGTATTCATGCTTTGCCTCTCAGTAATAGTAGAAAAGATCCATAGTTTTGGTTAAGAAAGGTCCCTTTTTTAATTTTTTTGTTATACTCATCCTTTTGGGTTGGATACTCAATTCTCTGCTTAATGTTATTTCTCTGTTCAGTTGATACCCGCCGAGTAAGTACCCTTTGCCGATTTTGATTTTTATTTTTCTTATAAATGTTTTTCAAGAACTGTAGGAGAAAAAATGTCTGCATATGATAATGTCATGGGAGGGAAGCTTAAGCTTAAAGGTAAGGCTCTGGACTTAAAGGCCGATGGGATGAAGAAGAAGAAGAAGAAGAAGATGAAGAAGATGAAGAAAAAACAAATGAAGCAATTTGAGCAAATTTCTAAGGCTGTAGAAAGTGAGTATGTCTGCAATTTTATATTTACTGCAATCAAGTCCTTTTTTGTGTTGGTGAACATCGTATACTTGTTCGTGCATTATCATTTGTCGTGCAATATCATTGTCTTTATTACGTTCTTATAATCATATTTTTGGATGCTAGCTATAGAGATTATTATGCATTTACATATTTGAGCTACAGTACAATAGTTAGATTGCAGTTTCCTATGGAAGCAAATAAATGTCATGGACTTTTGACTTGGAAATGGCTGTCTATTTGTTCAAAACATTGGTTGTTTCTTGGTGTATTATGACCAGAATACATAACAATTTGGTTGTTTCTTGAATCATAAATTTAGTTAAGTGCACTCTGCTATTATTTTGCAGTCACCTTTTAAGTCAGAAACTGCTGTTTGATGACATTTCAAACAAGTCAGCAACTTCTGTTTGAAGATATAGTAGTGAAATCCCGTTTTTTACACATGCTTCTAATAAATCATTCCTTGTTGTTTCTCGGTTTTATGTAAAGATGTTAGCTATGTTTGGTAAAACTAACTGATCAACTAGCTTATAGCATATAAGTAATTTTCGAGCTTATAGCTTATGACATATGGCTGAAAGCTAGCTTATATGATAAAATTATTTGGTAAAATTAAGCTAAAATAAAAATTTCAACGAGTTTATTTGAAAAGCTACCCAAGGAAGAAGCTTATGAAATAAGCTCGAACTTTTTAAAAAAGCTCGTCTTACCAAATGAAGCTTATTTGAATACAGGAAGCTTGAGTTGGCTTATTTGGTTACCAAACATAGCCGTTATCCCTTGTTTTCTTATAGCTACTCTTTGTATGAAGGTGAGAATGCAGAGCAGTTATCTAAGTTGACCGGACAAGAAAATCGGGAAGTTGATGACAAAACGAATGGGGAAGAAAATTCCACTAATTGGGACAATAATCTCACACCTGCCGAGAGGCGCTACATGGAACAAAGAGAGAAAATCAACTCCCACAAGCTGGGAAAAACCTCAAACAAATCACACCGTGACCGTATTGAGGATTTCAATCAGTATCTTGCGAATATGAGTGAGCATTATGACATTCCAAAAGTTGGCCCTGGCTAAGTAATGAATCAAGAATCGAGTCTTTTTAGTACAGGCTCGTATTTTTCTCTCTTCGCACGACCAACCTTTTTTTTTTTTTTTTTTTTTTTTTTTTTTCTTTTCTGTTGCCTTTTACTACTCCTTAGACCTGTGGATTTTTCGGCGTTTAGATTTTTATTGTGAACATTGAACAATATGTTCTTACAGTTCCGTTTTTTATGAAGCTGCGAATTTCCATTCATGTTGCAAACTAGGATTATGTGTTAAAAACTCTCACCATATCAAGATTCGGGAGCTCTCAAAAGCGTACACCAAGGTAACTTGACCAGAGCCAACAAATGGCTCGTTATGGAGTCATTCATGAATTGATGCATTGACATATGTTTCAAAATGTATTTAATTTTTGACAATTGTCAATATATTATTTGCGAATAAATGTAGATGGTTTTTATATGCCGTGCGTGTCATCTAATGGATTTATAGGAATATTGGTAACTTGAAAATTGTAATCTAATCTGTGTGTTTGTTTTCAATTGATCGATTTCCTCATAACCTACACCATATCAAGATTTGGAAACTGTACGTCATTCATTTGATCGATTTCCGTTTTAACTTTTACCATATCATTTTAATCGATCGATTTCCTTTCAACTTTCACTAAATATCAAGATTTGGGAGCACTAAAAGCATGTCAAGGTAATTTGAAATCTTATCCATCTAGATCAAATGGCACAAAAGTCCCACCAATCTAGAGTTGATCAAATAGAAGGCCAATAATTTGCCATTCTTTCACAAACCTGTTTAACTAAAAAGTTAAGTACAAATTTACTGTTAACAATCAATTTAAAATTGAGAATCTGAGTAAATATATTTTGCCTTTTGAGTTACCTGATATTGAACATCGCAGGTTACAAACTTACAATACAGCCTAAATTGATAGATCATCAATCGTATAGCTGAAACTTATTTTTTTTCCTTTTTCCTAGCCAAATAAAATTATTAGTCCTCATAAAAGATGTGGGATTAATGAATGCGAAGTCTTCATACAAAAACGACCAATCTCAAATTACACTCATACAATTTATTATTTCGACAAGAGCGTAGTAAAATAATGCCCGTATACAGCCAAATCTTATTACTCACCAAAAATCATAAACAAATAGCACAAGAAAGACATCTAAACAAATAAACAAATATATTTAAACATGAACCACACCATGAATGTCTATGAAAGCCTAGGCAAACATGCTGCTTCTTATCACATTCTTCATTGAGAAAGGGAATAACTTAAAAGCTGCCAATTTTAAGAGGATGGTATATAATAATACAAAGATGCTCTAGAAAACGAGCGGATTCATGTAAACTCTTCATCGAGTTTCATCCTCAAGGGTGCGGAAGCCAGCTGTCAAATCATCGTAAAGCTTCTTAAATTTGGCAACCAGGACATCTTCTCCTTCAGCCGGGTCCTCGAATTTCTGAGAACTGCATTATTCGAAGAGTGTTGAAATTTACGACATCTTTTTTCTCAAAGATTGCACAAAATTTCAGCTCGTAATTGTATGGTTAAAGAAGTTTTACTTACACTAAGCGGTAAAACAAATCTCCAAGACGATGCTTGATAAGAGTGTATGTTATCTTCTGTCCATCCATGCCAGCCCCCCGCTCCACAGCCTAAGCAAGAAATCACATCAAGCGTCTAATTTGGAGACAATCGACTCAAGACACAGAATTTTTCATGTGAAAAAACAACGTTTTCCTCATATTCTTGATTTTTTTCTAAGAAAGAAAAGAAAATAAAACAGAAATGAATGAGATATGTGGTGATTGCTTTACCTGATTAGCCAAATTGTAGAAATGAATGATGTTGCGCATCATCCAAATTGACTTGTAGAATGGGCAAAATTTATCATAACTGTGAACGAGGAGCACATATTCTTAAAAACTCAACCATCTGAACGAGAAAATATTAAACTTCAGGGTTAGTTGGGAATTGATAAGCTCTTACGGAGTAAATGCATTCTGGGCAAGATAATCCTCCCTCAAGAGCTTGGCGGTTTCCAGGGTAATCTTATCTGTTTCAGCAAGAGCATCTTTCCCGACAAGCTGGATAAACAGCAAAATAATTAATGTAAGTTCCAAACAGGGAAGAACATCCACATAATTTGAATTCAGGGTATAATCCATCAATATTGCGACACAAAAGGATGGAGTTTATTATCAGGAATTAAAAAATAAAAAAATCACGAGACACAACTACAATTATATGATGGCTATTGGCAGTTCGAAAATATCAGTAGTCCCATCTTGGTGATTCTCTTTGCTCCCATTAGACTACTGACAATGAAGTTAGAAGCAAAGAGGGCGAATAATACCTGCACAATTTCATTCAAATCATCTTCTCTTTGCAAAACTTCACGAGCTTTTGTCCTGATGTCAATAAAATCTGGATCAAACTTCTCGTAGAAGGATTCCAGTGCCTGGGAAAAGTACCAGTGAAGAGAGCATCAGTAGGGTGACAAATAGGAACTCATAAGCTAATCCACACATCAAACAGAAAGAAGTGGCTCAGATTAAATGCTGAAGATCGAAACATACCCCTGAATAATTTGAGTAAGAAATGAGCCAGTTCACGGACGGAAAATGCTTCCTTTGAGCCAGTTTCTTGTCCAGACCCCAGAAAACCTGAAAAATGATTTCATAAGTACACATTGGAGTACAGTGCATGAATTACGAATTGACAAGATGTTTTGCTGTCTCAACGTTACCTGAACGATACTGAGGGTTGCAGATGTAACAGGATCAGAAAAATCTCCTCCTGGAGGAGAAACTGCACCGACAATAGTGACACTTCCAGTTCTTTCAGGTCCACCAAGACATTTAACCTTCCCTGCACGCTCATAGAACGATGCTAAACGTGCCGCCAAATAAGCAGGATATCCACTGTCTGCAGGCATCTCAGCCTGTACAGCAAATATAATGCTCATTTACAATAATAAAGAACACAATGCATGTTCCCTTCCATAATTAGCATCAGATCAATTGGGAAATTATCCAGTAAATCAGTAGAAACTTGCAGTTTTCTCTCTTTTTTAAAAAATAATAATGATAATAAACAATACTTCCGTTTATTCACATTGACCGAAGACAATACTGTTTGCTTACTCAACAATTATCAATTACAACAATTAAAACATATGAAGTGGAGTTTTTATTTCATTACAGGTAAAATATATATTTTTGAAGGAATTCACAGGTTCAGAACTCTTGCAGAATGTCCCATAATATAATAAAATATTAATCGTCCAAAGCATAAGATATAAAGAAACTATTTGCCCACTATGATAGGGGCAAGGTAATAAGAAGACAATTTGAGTCGCGAAGTGATCTTGATACATACCAGTCGACCAGAAATTTCACGCAATGCCTCTGCCCAGCGGGATGTTGAATCCGCCATCATACTGACATTGTATCCCATATCTCTGAAGTACTCAGCTATGGTAATTCCTGAACAAGTTTAGATGATGAATTATTAGTTACAACATAAACCATGAAGCAACCACTTGGTACCACTTTACAGATACGAGTTAACTTATTAGTTGATGAACTAACTAGTTTCTTTGGCAACATATTACTGAAGAACTAAATTTATTCTCATTAAGAGAAGAAGGAATCTAAATAATGGCTTCAACATAATGTCATTGTCACTGGAGTGTAAATATTTGCCAAAAAAAAATGTAGCTCCTTACCAGTGTAAATTGAAGCCTCACGAGCAGCCACTGGCATATTGGAGGTGTTAGCTACAAGTGTGGTACGTTTCATGACAGATTCCTCACGACCATCAGGCAGGGTCATTGTCAATTGAGGAAAATCCATAAGCACCTGTAGCATATATCACACATCAGACATCTTAAATACGCCTCAAAGCTGATTAAAAAAGCCGAAGGATAACTACTACGTACCTCAGCCATTTCATTTCCTCTTTCTCCACAGCCAACATAAACCACAGTGTCTGAGTTTGAATACTGCATTTCCATAGCAGATGTATATACATGAAAGAAGTTGTCACAACAGATACAAATTACTAGAAAACAAAATTCCATTCAAAAGATATAATTCAATACAAATCAAATCAGTGAAGTTCACCTTGGAGAGTGCCTGGCTGATAACGGTTTTCCCACAACCAAATGCACCAGGAATGGCACAAGTACCACCAAGCACGGAGGGAAACAAAGCATCAAGTACACGCTGAAGAGAACAAAGTAATTAGATCAGGGTAATTGAGCTCTGAAAACATATAAGTCTGAGAATATTGCATTAATAGTCACCTGTCCAGTCAAGAGAGGAGTGTCAGCAGCAAGCTTTGAAGCCACAGGCCTAGGTGTACGTACGGGCCAGGTCTGCAAATAAGTATGCATCAGATTCACTTTGTTAATCAGGCCATGCATAAATCAAAGCAGTTCAACCACAGTTACGAATCTCTACATTTCGAACCAAAAAAAAAAAGGCTTAACCTGAAGCATGGTAAATTGTTTTTTGACGCCTTGAAACTCAAGCTCGAGGACAGTATCCTGCAAAAGGTAAGGTATGGAAAATCAACGCATGTAACAAGTGTTCCGTATCCAAAAACAAATGCGAATTAACAATAAATCATAGAACAAACCTTCAAGGAGTATTGGCCCGGTGGTGCAATGTAGGTTATTTTACCCATAGCTTCAGGAGGAAGAGAAACATGATGTTGCACTAAGGTGTTCTCAAACACAGTCTGCACCAGAAAGTGATGCACAAAAATAAGGCCTTACTACCTAAGCACTGGAATTTATTAAAGAGATCCCAAATTTCTAATTTCGTCAAACTCACCGCATATAAGTCACCACCTGTCAAAACATCTCCTTCTCCTGCCACCGAAAATCAAAGTCAACGAGGGTGATATGGTATTGAATATTGATAGATTTCAATCATCTTGAATCTAAACACTGAAGCTAGTATCAAAATAGATAAATGTGAACATTTCTCTTTTACCTATTTTCTTTGGCTGAAATTCCCAAAGAGTATCTTTGTCAAGTGCAGGGACAGACACACCACGAGGAATGTACACATCACCAGATTTTATTGCAATTGTCTTAAGTGGCCTCTGTATTAAGTATTTACCCAAAAGGAAAAATGTGAACCATCATAAGGAAACATGCGATGGAAATCTAGACAATAAACATTCTCTGAGAAACCTGCTGAGTTACGAGAAATATTGATGAAAAATATACGGACCTGAATCCCATCAAATATATTTCCCAAAATTCCAGGACCAAGTTCAACTGACAAAGGCTGCATAAATCAGTCAGAGTATGAGAAAAATCACTTCTCAATAACTAACGATGGCAAACATACTCACAAAACTAAAGTTAAAGTTTCATGAAAACCTTGTGTGTCCTGAGAACAGGGTCATTCACCATCAATCCAGCCGTTTCCTCATACACTGCAGCAAAACATGAAAATGGACTTCTAAACAACACTTCAGTTGTAAGGAAATAGCAAATCTGTTCATTCTCCCAGCAATCACACATTCAGTAATACTTATAATAGCAACAAGACTAGCCCACATAAAGACATAGCACCTCATAGAAACTAACAAAAATATGTTTCTCCTAAAGGGTCCTCAACCTTCACTATCCCAAACTGAACTGAAGTAACCATTCCTACAGTTAAGATTAGAATCCAGGACCAGATAGCTCTAGTTGCTTGGAAGATAGATAAGAGAGATTTCACTAATCCTAAACACTAACCTTGAATAGTGGCAGAATCTCCTTCTAGCCGAATGATTTCTCCAATCAGATTGTCGTGTCCAACACGAACTAATTCATACATAGCAGCTCCTGCCATTCCATCGGCAACAACCACTGGTCCAGATACCTGCCAACACAAAATGCATGCAATTAGGCAAGAGCTCCAAACAAATAATACAGAAACCGAGCTTCCAATGCCGAACGATGCAGATGTTAACTCTATAATTTCCTCAAAAGCCGACGCTTGCACGATTCTGTTATATCCATAGATCTATGAATGTGCTGATTGAACCAACCGAATACATAAAAGAAGTTTTGTGAAATCTCCAAATAGGATAAAGCATCAGATCCAGATTCGAGGAATCCAAGGAAAAAATACGTAAAATTCAAACATGTTAAACATGACCATTGGGAAACATTTACTCCATATCCAGAGACAAACAAGGCAAATCAAATCAAATAAAAAACTCGCAGCAGGGAGCAATAATTTCATACAAATTCAAGAGCAAACAACGGAAAATTATTTAACGAAAATTAAGCACGACACCATACCTTGCGAACGTAGCCGTACTCACTCTCCTTCTCGGCATCCTCGAACGTGGTGATCGGACCTCCGTATGCGGCCGGCATGTTTCGAAATTAAACGGATCGAGTCAGCAGAAAAGGTAAGCTATTGGGAGTGATTCCCTAAGGACAGGATCAGATCGAGGAGTAACTCCGACAGGTTCCGATCAAAGCTCGCAGCGATTCAGATTTTTTGTCGGGGCCTTACAGAGAGGTCAGAAGACGATGAGATGAGAACGTGATGATTAAATTGATTGATATATTTGTGCTGTCTATATGTTGTTTGAAGCTCGATTGAGTACTGTGATTGATTGACAGGGATATTTTCGTAAATGTACTGCTAGAGACGACACGCTGCTCTTTCGACTTTTCTTTTTCTTTCGCCAATCATAAATCATCACTAATAATACTCGTGTACTACACAGGCGTTTAGTTAATAAATACTAGTACACACGGACGTTTATTAAAAAATTATTCTTAAATTTTAAAATTAATGAAAAAAAATATTTTAAATTTTATATACATTTTTACAAAAAATATATATTATTATATATTGTAGAATGACACTTGTTACTTGTGCGACTTACATGTGTTATATATAGTAATTTTTATAATTTATATTATATAACTACTTGAAATATAAATATATTAATTGATAAATCCCCCTAATGGCTAACTAGATCTGGACCAATGACCCGGCCGGGTCAATGTCTCGGGTCGGCAGGGTCTCGGCGGGTCGGCCGGGTTTTGACCGGGTTTGACCGGGTCCTTGGTTGCTCGGTCCAAATACTCCACCCGAACCGGTTTCAGCTCCGGGTCGACCGGGTCCCGGGACGGTCCGGGTCACAAAACAGTGATTAGACGAAATAAAGTTGCATGGGTAAATTTTTAAGTTATTTTTTAAATTAAAATCTTATTCTTAAATTATTTATTAATTATACTATTTCAAATTACTTTAAATATTTGAAAAATAAAAAATATAGTGTTAACATGTAACATATTTTACCATACATTAATTTGTTGAAAATATACACAAAAATTTAGTGTATAAAAAGCACATAAAGGTATAATGGTAACTAGTATGTACCCGTGCCATGCACGGTGGGTGTATAACTTAAAACATATTGAAGTACTTATATTAAATGGAATTAATTGAATTGAACATATAATAATGGAAACAAAAATAAAAATAAAAAAGAAATCATATATTATTAAAAACTTCTCTGTACACAGCATTATTTGTTTGATTTGGGGGCAAATCATGTTCACCACATATTAGAATTTTCAAACCCTTTCTGTTGGTGACGCGCGAAACATCAACATATAACTGGCCATGACTGAAAACTGGTTTCTTCAAGAATAAACCAACGTAGGATAAGGATTGACCCTGACTCTTTTTAATAGTCATTGCATAAGAGACCACGATAGAGAACTGCCTTCGTTGAAACTTAAAAGGTACTCTTGCATCCGAAGTTATCGTCATTCGAGGTATCAACATTTTATCCCAGCATGGTCGCCCATAAGTATCCTACATTCTAGGATATGATTGGAGAGTCTTGTTACAACCAAACGTGTCTCGTTGCACAATCCCATAGAATGATCCATGTTCCGCAACAGTATAACAGGAGTTCCCACCTTCAAATGCAACTCATGATTTGGTGTACAGAACATTTGAGAGAATTTAAGAACTCAGGAGTGTGGATTTCTGACAAGAAGTCAGAATTCAAATCGGATTTACAGGTACTGTTGGAGCTCAAATATACACGACCTTCTGTTAGATTCAACGACGACATGTATTGGTTGATAGACTCAACGATCTCCAACATAGTGAGCATCCCGTGCGATGCACGGACGGACTTGTTTCTTGAAATATTTTTTTTAAAAAAAAATTATATTTAAAATGTAATTATTTATATTTAAACAACTCATTATTTTAAATATAATTATTTATATTTAACATATCTCATTATTGATTTTTATAATAAGCATTTTCCATAATTAATTATCATTCAAATAAAACAAATAATTAATTACCATTCAAATAAAACAATTAATTAATTATCATAATTGTTTCCTATAAAAAATAAGCAATGCATATTAGACAATTAATGTGCACATCCCATCTAGGAACTGACTTTCGTATCAATCGAGAACTTCTCACACGTCACATCTCCTGGCCTATCATTCCCAAGTGCCACCCTTAGAGCTAAATATTCTCGTCCGATCTGCCATAGCCCAACAGCTCAGACCGACCACCAGAAGCCCGTGCAACCAGCCCGAGTCCAGCAAAAAATTATTGTATTCTGTTGGTATTTTCACAAGTGCGCAATTCACATCCAACAAAATTTCGCTCAACAATTCACGCACGTCTCATTTTTCATACGCAAAATCCAACCAAGAAAAAATGAACCGTCGTTCGAAAAATTATCGCCAGCGCTCAAAATATTCGATTATCTTCACCAGCAAAGAGTGCGACCATTCGTCGCCTTCAACATCCACTCTAGTCCGACCAGCATTGCACGCAAAACAATCGAGATATCTCACTCGTTCAGCCCGTCGTCTTGCCATGTTTGTTACCAACCGCCCGTCAGCAGCATCATTGAAACGTCCAAGCATCAACAACCTTCGTCCAGCAGTCAGGAACAACCAACACCAACACCAACGACCTCATATCTTTAAGCTTCGTTGACCCTTCAGTATGGTCATCCTTCGGCAGTCGATTTCGAGCCAAAACTCGACCAATCAGACCATCATCAGCCGCCTGAGACTTCGTACAATTGTCCATACTTCACGATGCACGACCAAAAACACACAACCTTCAGCCATAACTTTCAGCCATCAACGTCCGATGCCGCATCAATTTTGCCCCGACTTTCCGATGCACGACCAAAAATTGCCAGCCTTCAGCCGTCAACGTCCGACGCTGCATCTGTCCGATAATGAATGCCCGCTGACCTCTATCATCCCTAGCCGTAACCCGGCCCCTCGTACAAGCCATGGACGCAACCTAGCCGGCTGCGGACTACGGGTAGCCGACGATGAATATATATATTGAGTTTGAAGGGAGACAATAATAAAGGGAATAATGTGGAATAATGTTGAATTATTTTCAAAAGATAATGAAGAGTTTGTTACCAATAAAAATTCTATGGAGCCATCCGATAACTCTATAGCAAAACTGTTGTTCCCAATATAATTATATGTAAGTTAAGATAAGATGTAATGTATCCAAAAAAATCTGCATGTGATTGCTTTCTTTAAATGTTTAATTTAATTTTTTTCAAAATATTTAGTCTGCTATTAAATTATAGTAGATTTATAAAAATAAATAGGAATAAGTTTGAAACGATAATTACGGATCAATTTATGGAATTGGGATATGTGATAGTTTTGCAGTTATCTTGCTAAAGAATGGATTGTGTAGAGATTTAAATAGCGTGTCATTGTAGTTTTTTGATATCTAATCATTTTTATTAACTTGTCTCCAGCATAAAAATTATGAAAATATTCAAATGCATATGTGATTTTGTAAGAAAATGTCTATTTTTTAATTTAATGACCGCATTAAAAATAAATTATGAAAATACTCAAACGCATATGTGATTTTGTGAGGAAAGATCTATTTTTTAATTTAATGACTACATTAAAAATAAATTTAAAGGAGCAAAATAATATAACTAATAATATTTGAACAAAATCAATTATCTCGAACTCTCTATATATACAAATATATGTAAAAAACATTAATTATCTCAAATGTAACCACTGAACGATATTTTAGGTATTTATAATGTTATGATTATTGTCTAATAACTAATAATATTTGAAAATATATAAAAATATGCTAACTACTTTTAATTTTCACGAATTTAGTGGGTAATAAATTCTTAAATATAGCTAGAATCTAATGTAATTTTATCTATACAAAATATTAATGGCCCCAAATCAAGAAGATTGTTTGCACTTATTGATACTCAATTGATTTATATTATAAATTAATAAATATTGTCAATTGTGTCACATATCATCTTTTTGATTTCAAAAAGAAATTATTCTTCCAAAAATGGTGTTAGGAATATCTGCTGTCAAACTCAAAAGATTATTAGATTACTCATACAGAAATATAGAAAAAAAAAATATTTTGAAAGGATACCAATTAAACTAACGGACTTGTAGGGATTTAAATCAAAAGGATAAAGGAAAACATGTGTTACAAAGAGTAAAAATTGGTTAGATAATTATTGACTCGTTCAATTTTTTTAAAATTCGAAAAAAAGTGTTTAAGGCGGGATAAACGTGAATCAAATAAAAATATTTTAGATAAATGTTGACTCATTCAATTTGGGAAGAAATCTCATCCAAAATGAAAGGAATACCATTCAAAAACAGTTTCCGAAAAAATTCAAAGTTTCAAAAAACAGATTTAAGCGGAATCCAAAAAAATTTCAAACACAATATTAGGGGGAAAAACAGGTTTTAAGCGGGAAAACGAAATGATTTTTTTCGGATTGTTCAAATAATTTTTCTTCTCCGTATTATATAGTAATAGATTTACGAACTTTAGAAATTACAACTTTTGAATATTTGTTGTAGCAACATCATGTCCATTCACGTTAAATCGGACGAAAGCGGTGAATATTTTGTTAAATATAAGGATGTTTAGCTCATTTCTCAAAAATAAAGGAGAAACCAAATTTCGTTGGACTATTTTACTCTATGAAAATGTATAAAAAATATGATATTTTGAAATCGTGAATAAATATGAGATAAAAAATGTAATGATTAAAGGTAATGATTTATAAGAATAACAAAATAATATTTAATAAAATCAGTAGTTTAAAAATTATAAGTGGTCAAATAATATTATATTTTATTTTTTTTTAACTGTGTTGGTAAAAAATACTATTAAAAAAAGTATTTCGTTTAAAATTTCAATAAAATAGATCTGATTGAACAAACAAAATAAATACAGAGAATTTATGTAACCAAATACAATCTAATTTGGAATCATGTCATACACATGTTTCGCATAAATTTTGATATAGGATGTGACTTTCCAGATTACATTAACTCAAATACTTTACAAATAGAAGACCTCCACTTTTCAGATTTGCAGCATCTAAAAATAAAAAAATAAAAAATAGTTAAGATGTTTAGAAGTGACGTGCGTTTCACGCCGTCCTCGTTCTTACTTCTCGAGTCCTAACGCACGAGAAGTGCGTGGCCTCCAGGCTCACACAAGCTGACAGAAACTTCCTCTTGTAGCTGCTGCTGCCATGACTGTCTGGGTCGGGCCAAGTTTGTGGTGGTTCGGGCTGAGTCTGGGTTGGGTCGGCGGGCCGAGTAACCCTTGGTCATGTCTAGGTATACTACTTTTAAAAAAATATTGTAAACCATTAAGGACAAATTTACCATTTTTTTAAACAAAAATTATTAATTTATCAAGTTTACCCAATCAACTGTTTGTGAAAAAACAACAATGGTGTTTGTTTAGTGGTATTTGGTTTTCAGACAATGGGGCGTGTTTGTATACAAATATATTTGTGGTGTTTTGGTCAGATGAAGTTGGTACAGAAAACTAATGTAAGAACGACCATTTCACTACAAGACAAGACAAATTCTTTGTATTTTAAGGGTGTGTTTGGTTGGACTGATAGGGTGTGTTTGGTTGGACTGATAGGGTGTGTTTGTTATTGTATCAATACCAATATTATGTTTGGTTGAACTAGTTTGGGCCCTGAAAAATGAGCATGGCCCGATCAGTTATCATTTAATTTGTTTATATGCTATCCTCCAATGATGTTGGGATACCTTATAAGCCAAATTAAAAAGTCACAAAATATCCCATTTTTTTTTTCTCTCTCATCCGTCCATCCATCTTCCTTCTTCCTCCTTCCTCCTTCCTCTTCTGCTTCTTTTCCTTTCTATTTTCTTCTTCTTTCTTCTTCTCCTTTTAGAAAAAATAAAATTCATGAAGCAACACAAGATGCTTTAGTTCGAATTTGGTGGATTTTGAGTTCTGTCAAGCAAGTCGCCGGCGGAGTAGAAGAGGGCCTCGGCATCCTGAAGCCAGATGCGGCGGGCCTCGTCACGGGAAAGAGGCGCCTCGAACAAGCGGTACTCCGTCGCCTCCTTGATAGCCCTCGTCGCCGGCCTGTTACTCCTCGTCTTTTCCGACCAAGCCCTAAATTTGTTTTTTCGTTCATTTTCTTCTTCTTTGCTCAATCTTTTATGGAAGAATTTGTAAATCTGATGTTGTTTCTAACAATTTTTATGTACAAATTGCTTCAAGTTTATGGCAGCCTAGGATTTGAGATGTGCAGAACTTGCGGTGCGGTTGAAGAATTGGGAACTACCACTTTCATTTTCCCGAACTCATTTTCTCAATTGTTGGAATAATTTTGGAAATTTAATTTGAAATGGAGGGTAAAAGAGCAATTTTAACCTGAATCCAAATATAAACCAAACAAGTTAATAGTATAACTAAGTACATGGATAGCCTTATAAATTATAATAATTTTTTGGTAAATTATATCAAAGACTAGTACAATATGTTTTTTATGCTGTTTTATGCATTGTTTTTTCTTTTATATTTATTTTTAAGTTCAAGGTAGCTTTCTTCTTGAGCAATATTAATGAGAGACGAAGGGAAGAAATTACAACTAAAATAAGCCAATATGTCTAGTCAATAAGTACTAATTATCACCAATCAACTCATATAATACATACCATTCTTTAATATTAATATTGATTTTGTAGTAATGCAATAATAATAAATAAAAAGGAAAACATTACCATTAAAATAAATCTTATGTCCCTTAGCGTTTTTGAGTGTGTTCGGTAGATATTAGGAACTTATTTAGTTAGTTTATAAGATTATTGTACTTAAATAAATTATTTTATAAGTTTTTTATATTTAAATAAATTTAGTTTGATAAGATGGTATTTTTTTAAGTGTAAGCTAAACTCATAAATTGTCTAAGTAGTTTTTCAAAATTAAGTTAGTTGAAAATATAATTTCAACTCGTTTATCAGACAAATTTATCATATTTTTATTATATCAACTAGTTTTTCAGTCATTAATTATAAATTCAAAAATAATAAAATATTAGTTAACTTATCAATAAGTTCGAGCTAATATTATAAGCTTGTTTAGGGAAATTTTTAAAGAAAGTTAAGTTAAAATTTTATTTCAGTTAGCTTATAAGTAAATTTTACTATATCTTTAGTATATCAGCTAGTTTTTTAGCCCAGAAATTATATGAACACTATAAGCCATGACACAATACTATATATAAGCACTATATGAGCTTATATGTGATTTGACTTTATTAATTAGATTTATTAATTCCAACATGACATTGATGTTTCCATAAAAATAAAACAATAATTGTGAAATATATAATTAGTGATTACAAACTATCGTACAAATTATAAATTATAAACTCAAAATTAACGTACAAATTATCAATTAACTTATCAAAAATCACAAGTAACTTTTCACTTAAATTTATCAAACAATACTACTTTTACCTTATTACATGGACAAAAGAGTTATATTACACACTCGATTTGTCACTCGATTTGAGCAGACATCTTACAGTGGTGACATGAAATAGATAATGATGGAAGAGTGCGAGAAAAATCAGCTTGTTAAAGATAGAAAAGGGGCGTTGGCGTAATTTAGAGAGCGATGAGTACGTTAGCATCGTGCAGAGTATCAGTGCTTTTCTTTTTGCTTCATTTTCTTTAATTGGTTCCTTTTATTAGTCATCTCATCTCATGTTGCAATAAAAATATTAGGGAAAATTGAGGAAGAAAGTGTACACACTCGACACGGTGGTGGGTTCAGCAAGTGACATTTGTACATTTTTCACACACCCTAGAAGAAAACAAAGCTTCAAAAATGCTCTACTCATCATAATTTTTTCCTGGGTCCGTCTTTTCTTTTTTTGAACAATTTCTTTTGGGGGCTTTGAAATTTTGGATTTCTCTCTCTCTCTCTCTCTCTACAATTCCTCGGACTTTGGGAGTCTTCTCTTTGAACTGGTGAGTTTTCAGACCGTTCATCGTTCATCTGTGTTTGCAAGGCTTCACCTTTTTTGTCTTTAACCTATGTTTTTTCAGCTGAATTCTTGTGTTTATGCACCTGCTTTATTTTCTGAAAGTTTTTACTATCTTGTTTGGATGTGGGTTCTTGAGAAAACGATGAATCGTTTTTTGTTTTTTGATTATTTTCCTTTCCTTTTTCCTGAATTCTTGCCNCATGTTCTGTTGTTATTTTTGTGTTCTGTTTTAAGCTTTTATGTTGTTGTGTATTTTTGCTTACTTTTATCTTTTACATCCTCCTGAGCTTTTTGACGGGATTGTACTTGATGAATCATGGAATGGTTAGTGTTATCAGTTATGTTGATTGAGAATTAGGAATTTGTTTCCACAATTTTCATAGCTTGATACTACCAAGAATCATGGAACCATGTTATGTATTCAGATATACAGTTATTAGTATATTTGTTTGGTTCGTGATTAGTGTATATGGCTGCGAGCTATTTTTTCCTGATCTTAAACGGTTAAGCAATTACTCTTCTAGCCGTAGTTTCCGGTTTTTTCTGGTGCTTGTGTAAATTTTCTCATCTGTCTTTGCTTATACTTGTTTTTTTACTGTTTAAAACTCAAATTAAAAACCAATATTAACTTGCTGTTAAACATGGTGTTGCCTAATTAAAGAAAATGTGAAAAAAACCAGCATTGTCAGTCAGACGAGATTATCACTTTCGATCGAGCTAAAACATGGCTACTGAAAACCCAATGAGAATAGTCGATACCGGTGGAGCTGGGAAGTGGGCCCCACCAAGGGGCACAACTTCTTTTGCCACGTCAGCATCGACTAGTGTAGTGACTGAAGAGCTGGGTTCGCTGCTTAGAGGAGCGCATAACACTAGCAGAGATCAAAGCCGAATAATTGCTCCCAATCGTAGTGGAAGTGCACCTCCGAGCATGGAGGGCTCGTTTGCCACTTTTGGTATGTTAATTTTTTGAACATTTTTCGAATCTTACCTTAACTGGCTGAAGCTTTGAGCTGTGGTTTAGTTTAGACTTAGAGATTTTTCTATCTGATGCATTTTTTATAACATTTTTAAGTTGAATGCAGATCAGAAGCCTAACCGAAAGGCGTATTCATATACTATTTCAGTGAAAAGCACTCATCTTTGCATTTTATGCTGTGATTTTCAGGCAATAATTGGAGATTACCATCAATTGATAGTCATGGTGGTGGATTTGTGTACTTGCCCACCAGAGGTGGTTCTCTTTCGACTCATGAAGAGGAGTCTGAAGATGATAGATCATCGCCCGAAGGAGCTTCTTCAGGTAATAGGAAAAAGAGTGATGTCATCGTGCACGGGCAGAATACAACATTGTTTGACAGCCGTCACAAAAGTCTGGTTGATCTTATACAGGTATCGTGTGTATTAAGTGGAATTTTTCTACTTTTTCGAAATTTATGCTCATGTTCAGACAGATCTTCGAGACAGTTTATGGAAGTTTGTTAAATTGGGTACTTTCAATGTGCCTTTTTTTAGTTGAATTATTTTTGTATGGAGCTATGGCGGTAATTTTGTTTCATGTTCTATGAACTGGGCTACTCACAAGCCATTACAGAGTACCTTTTATTTATGAATTTCTCATTTCTTTTCGTTTTTTCATCTTTTGTCCATATGGGCATGAGTAAATATAGACTGTGAAAGGGTAGTGTTTCTTCTAAAGCTGCACACTTTTTTTGTCAATCGAAACAAGAATGCCTATCTGATTAGAGAATGTATTTGTATTTAAGATTGTACATTTTTAAATGGATTGTTTTACTGTGATGCTTTAAGGTAAAAAA